GACATCTGACTGTGTAAGCTACATCATCTTCAATACGGTTGTAAACATCTCAGTAGTTTCTGTCCCTTTAATAAAACAGATCAGTTGTAATTTTGTGTATTGAACTAGAGCTTGACCCAGTGGTTTATTCCCAGCTCCAGATATCACTTTTCCTGCCTTCCGTAGATCCCAAATTCAAATATAATATCAAATAAAAGCTTTGGGATAAATCTCATAATTATAAAACGGTCAACACAGAAATCCACACAGTACGTCTGACTTGTTGACCAAACAACCACCACCACTAGGCAAGCCTAGAACTACTTTCAGTTTGTCGCATACTGTACATTAATTGGTGGGGGGGATACTACATGTACATGCATATCAATCGTCTCCCCTCCCCACTTTTTCCCCAAACCTAAATGATAATGTATACCTTGCAAAAGCATTTGTTAAGAAAATGCCAGAAATTGCCTCTGATCACATACCTTGCAAAAGCATGTTTTAAGAAAATGCCAGAAATTGCCAGAAATTGTCTCTGATCACATCACAGAGCATCTATGCCCCACACCACTCCGGGCTTCGTGCTTTGTGCTCACATTTGTTCTGATCAGGGCTATGTTCCCCCCCCTCGCACTTTTCAAAACGGATTGGCACCCTTGAGTGCATAGTACCGTATGTGGAAGTGTTTACACGTACGGCTTTTCTACAGTATTGAGTAATGTTTGGACGGACGAAGATGACATGAATTTTTTATCAAAAACCATCTATTGAAGAATTGTAAGCCATGTCTGATACTGACAAGTACATGTACGGCAGATTCATCTGAAATGAAAAGAAAACATTGGATGTTGTTATACTCTGACGATTTGGGCCTTCTCCACTTGGTGCTCAAAATTGTGACACTTCCAGAAGGGCAGGAAAACGATGCTCAATTCTCTCTGTCTCAGTGGTGCAGGAAGAGATGAGTTCCCCCAGTGTAAATTATATAAGATATAATTGCTGTGAGCACACCTGATGCTTGTAAACCATGCTGACTGTCAGGTGCGCATCATTACATAATATTATATGTATGTAATATCTACATATACATATTGCGTCCTTCTTCGGTGGTCCATCTGTCTGAATGTTACATGAGTTATACTTCTCTAGATCAGAACGCTGGTACATCAAACCTGCACCATGGCTCCTGAGTTTTCTGTGCACTTGAACCTTGTTCTTTTTTAATAAAGGAGAAATGTTTAGGACTGATAATAAAAACTCGAAAGTTGAGCACAGTCGTAGTTGCGATGGAACAATGGCCAACATATGGCTGGGTTTGTATCATTGCAAGACACTACACCATACACACTGCCCTGTGGTCAATTACTTGTCACTAATATGATCATACATGTAACTTCACCGGTGTTGCATCACGATGACTGTTTTCAAAGTATTTGTGTCAAAGCGAATGGTGAATTTAATAGTTTATGTTCCACTGGCCAATGTACATGTAGATACATACCCGTAGATCCTGTTTATATGTACATGTCCGTTGTGAACCGTCAGTGAGAATAGGGTTTACATGTCCCCCAACCGTGTTCAGTCCTGCAGTATTCAGTCTCTCTGCTTCAACCTGCTGTTTTTGTAATGAATCTTGTGAATTATTTCAATTGGGCCCCAATTGAAGTTCCCTTCCTGAAATTAATTCAGAAGACAAAGGTCTAGAAAAGCAGATAATTGTGTTGGCAGTTGTGCTTGAAACCAAGGAGCACTGCGTGGAGATTTGAAATCCCGATGTAACTTTAAAAGGCGTTTCTTTTGACTCCATTGAACTGCTGAACCCATGTTAAGTTGAATTTTTCAGCTTTTGGAATGTGTGCATGTACATTCAGTGAGGTCAGATTAGCATGAAATTCCACAGTTGTCACGTGAGTGTAAGAACTGACTGAAGGAAACATTACTTTTTCTAGGCCTACGAGAGATTGACTGTTTGTGTGGTTTTAAATCCCAGGTACAATGCTCCTTTCAAGAAGACCATTCAACAGTGGGTGCAGAATTTATCCAACACCAGCGAGATCATTGAACAGTGGATGCAAGTGCAGAACCTCTGGGTTTACTTGGAGGCTGTGTTTGTGGGCGGGGACATCGCCAAACAGCTGCCAAAGGTACTTCATGAAATAGACTGATCCAGTTAGCCTTGCCCTCTGTGCGCGTGGGTGCTTAGAAATTGCTCCTCTCCAGTGCCACCCTGCATGTTCTAGCCGGGTGCTTCGTACACATGTGAACGCATATCGGACGTAAATTACGGCAGTGATTGGTCAGTACAATGGGGCGGTGCTTCATGGATCAGTCTTTTAGTTGGGGAATCAACCAGGTGAATCAACTGACTGAGAAACCACCTGATTGAAGACTAATCAACCGATTGATTGAGAGGCCACTCAAGTGTTTGGTCCATCAGTTGACCAATCAGTTGATTGATTCATTCATTGTTTCACCAATTGATTCTTTGATTGGTTTTTCAATCAATTCATTCTTTTTCCATCGAATAATCCTTGGGTCTGTCAGTGGATCGATTTATCACTCATGTTATTGATCGGTTCACTCAGATACCTCATTGAATGCTCATTCAATCAACTACATGTATTTCAATTATCAGTGAGTGGATCAGCTAATTAGTGGATTGCTAGATTGATAGATCAGTCAGTTTAGTTAGTTTGGTCAGTCATTTATCTAGGTTGAAAGTATTGGGAAGATTTATGGTGATAGTTATGGAAGGAAAACAAAATGGGAATACTTGTAACTTGTAATGTTGGCCTTGAGTGATAATGGATTAATGTCTTTGTGCTTACTGAGCACTTACGGCTCCTTTCCTCTGATCTGTACCACATCAGGAAGCCAAACGCTTTTCTAACATTGACAAGTCCTGGGTGAAGATCATGGTGCGTGCCCACGAGAACACCAACGTAGTCCAGTGCTGTGTCGGTGATGAGTTTATGGGACAGCTGCTACCTCACCTACTAGAGCAGTTGGAACTCTGCCAGAAGTCACTGACTGGGTAAGGGTCAATGTTCACGGCCATCTCGAGTTAACCAAATTGTGATAAAGTATTGTGATTAAAAATACCATCAGGCAGTTTAGAGTATGCGGTCAAAACAAAACTAGGTATTAAATCATTATATTTGAAAATGTTGCATCGTTCCCATCTTCCTTGAGACATTCATCTTGGGCCGAGTTATTGAAGAAAGAAGAAAGGTAGCATTATTTTTATTTTTGAAAATGTTAGTTCATGAAGACTTAAACAAAGTCTTGGGAGAAACAAAGTCTTGGGAGAGTACGGGTAGTTACAAAAAGTCGCACTGTAGAGCTCAGTTATTATTAATAGATTATGCAGAAGAGAAATTGCCCACATCGTTCAAGAATTAAAGATGTTTTCTCTGGAACACCCTACCTTCCAGTATAGCAACTCTTTGAGAAAGTTTTTGATGAATTGACGCAAAGCTGAAGGAGATTAGTTTCTCGTTGCTGATTTTTGGAAAACCCCAATTTGTTTTTGTCCACAGTTACCTGGAGAAGAAACGACTCCTGTTCCCCCGCTTCTTCTTTGTTTCGGATCCAGCCCTCTTGGAGATCCTGGGCCAGGCCTCAGACTCCCATACCATCCAGGCCCATCTCCTCAGCATCTTTGACAACACCAAGACCGTCAAGTTCCACGAGAAGAACTACGACCAGATCCTGGCCATCATCTCCTCGGAAGGCGAGACCATCGAGGTTGGGAAACCACTTAAACTTCAGTTAGGGGATAGCATTCAAATTGGTTTTTTTTCTCCAAATTGAGTTTTACTTTGGTCAATTAAACTATTAGAAATCGAACAGTTACAAAATTGGAATGAGGAATGTGACGGTTCAAAGGAGACTGATAATGAATAAGGCATTGTTCAATTTGAAAGTTTGGGTTATGGTGTTGAGAATGGCTCAGTGTTCTTCAAAAGGTTCTTTTTTACTTGTTTGTATGGAAAAGGCTTTGAACACACCAAGAATTTTTCCATCTTGAGAATGCAAATTTTGATTGTAGTGCAACTGGATTTGTTTTCATTTGCAGCTGGAGAAGCCAATTAAGGCGGAGGGCAACGTGGAGATCTGGCTGATGAATCTGATGATGATGTCACAGCGGTCAGTTCATGGTGTGATCCGCACTGCCGCCATGGCCGTCCAAGATTCCAGCTTCAATCTCATTGAGTTCCTGAATTCCTATCCTGCACAGGTGGGCCTGCGGCTCTCTCTTTCTCATTGTTCTTAAAGACAAAGAATACCAAGTGCATGTGCATGTACACAGGGGCTAGTTTATACAGAGTTGCTAAGGCTTAAGGTTTCCAATGTTAAAAAGCCCCTCAGTGCATGAGGGAAAAGTCAACTCTTTCCAGGATAACGGTCTCATGGTCCCAGCCTACCAGCCACCCAGGATCAAACAGTGTCATTGCTCTCTATTACTACCCTATTTTCTCAGAGTTTGTCAATACACACCCCCCCCACGGGTCCCATAGGTTTTGCACCCCCGTTGCACCTTGCTGTGTTCAGCAGGTTTAACCAGGTCAAACCAAGACAGCAAATTTACCCCCAGACACCGAACATTCCTCGACAGGTGGGTCTGCTGGGCATTCAGATGATCTGGACCCGCGACGCCCAAGAGGCTCTGGTCAATGCCAAGTACGATCGCAAGGTCATGCAGCAGACCAACCAGGGCTTTCTGGACCTCCTGAATCTCCTCATCGAGCAGACCACCCGTAACCTGACCAAGGTGGAGCGTACCAAGTTTGAGACCCTCATCACCATCCACGTCCACCAGAGAGACATCTTTGATGATCTTGTAAGTCAAAGAAAATCCCTCTCTCAGTCATTCACAGGTGCAGTTGAACAGGTGCGACTCATCATTTAAGTTGTGCTGCTAATTTAAAGTGCCATTTGGAGTTTTAACGATCAAGTAGTATTTGGAATACATTTGGTACATGTACCTTCAGCCAAAGCCTCTATCCATTTGATGGCTCCTGGTATCTTTTAGCGAAATGTCCTGAAACAGAAGAGAACAGGTGTGATTTCTTGTAGCTTCAGCCCCAATTTTGAAATCATCAGAGTAGGTAGAATTATTACAGATTTATTTTAAATGCATCCTTTTATGAAATGTGAAATTTATGACTGTGAAACTAAATAGTGCCTCATGCAGATAGAACCCTGGTCACATGACTGGGTAATTTTGGCATAGCAAGCAGAATCATGTTGGTAGAAGCTGTAATCTTTCACTTGCTGCAGTTTTGGTTCAATTTAAGTGGTTTCCAGTTTCCGCATAATGCATTCCACAGTTTTCAGGGCCTTTGCAGCATATATCAACTTCATCATAATGTGCCATGGCAAGACTATCGCCCCTCTGAGGAGCTGGTGGACCGTAGAAATGCTGAAGAGACTTTAGTGCAGATGCAGTCGAAACACCTTTCAACAATTAACTTTTCTCTTGTCCTTGGCACAGGTACGGATGCACATTAAGTCTCCCACCGACTTTGAGTGGCTGAAGCAGACGCGCTTCTACTTCAACGAAGACAACGACAAGATGCTGGTGTCCATCACGGACGTAGACTTTCTGTATCAGAATGAGTTCTTAGGATGCACGGAGCGACTCGTCATTACGCCCCTCACTGACAGGTAATATGGGTGACACCAGGGAAACCCCCTGGGGCCATATGGAGGAGTGTGAAAAATAGTTCCATGTGGCTTTTGCAACAGCCTCATTCACGTTTTAGTTTATTATGACGACTTCTTGTTAACTATATTTAGATTTTAGTACTGATATTTTTTGGCTAGTGTGATAATAGGGACATCCCATGTCAGTGGTAACTTAAAAACTTGGTTTGTTGAAGTTTACTCTGGCGTATGTAGTCTGTTTATTTATTATTTTCAGTTTTATTCTTCAATTTGTGACATATTTCTGTTTATTTTTTTAAAAATATTGTTCAGGTTTGGTTGTACATACAGTTCACTTTTTCTAGTTGGAATGATTACAGTAGTGAAGTAAATATTTGAAAATATCTTTGTCGTTTTCTGTCAATAATGCTGTTTGTTCCCAAACTTTCTTCAAGATCCATTGATGTTAAATTTTACTCTGACATTTAAGGCCACAAATTTCAAGCTAATGAATGTGGTGTTATTCCTTTTAAAATGAATGCCACTGACCCTTGAGTTTTTGTTGATATGCCAGATGCTACATCACCCTTGCGCAGGCCTTGGGCATGAGCATGGGTGGTGCCCCAGCCGGGCCAGCCGGCACCGGCAAGACGGAGACCACCAAGGACATGGGCCGAGCCCTTGGCAAATATGTGGTTGTCTTCAACTGCTCAGACCAGATGGACTACCGCGGGCTGGGCCGCATCTACAAAGGCCTGGCCCAGTCGGGCAGCTGGGGTTGCTTTGATGAGTTCAACCGGATTGACCTGCCTGTGCTGTCGGTGGCTGCGCAGCAGATCGCGATTGTCCTTACGGCGAAGAAGGAACGCAAGAAGCAGTTTATATTCACCGACGGTGACAATGTCGATCTGAATCCAGAGTTTGGGCTCTTCCTCACAATGGTAAAATAAATTCTTTTGTTTTGTGGCCAGAAAGAACACAAACGTTCGAATCACAATGATTCTCAAAACACCTCGTGAAACTTCTTCCTTTTTTTGCCAGAATCCGGGCTACGCTGGTCGGCAGGAGTTGCCCGAGAACCTGAAAATCAACTTCCGTACAGTGGCCATGATGGTGCCGGACAGGCAGATCATCATCCGCGTCAAGCTAGCCAGCTGCGGCTTTATGGAAAACATCATCCTGGCTCGCAAGTTCTACACCCTCTACAAGCTGTGCGAGGAACAGCTGACAAAACAGGTACACTTCGGGACATCTGCAATGGGCAATTGGACACCGTTTGTAACTACTACCTTCTCGCTCTTCTGCCATTGCTCAGGCGCATTCTTCTCATCCAGAGGCGCTGTGTTTGTGCACATTCTCTCGAAAACTAGTCACATGCTCTTTATTTGCATATGCAAATTGTTGTATGTGATTGGCCTCTTCATGGCTCTCTTTATCTTACCACACAATCAGATTGCTTGTCCTGGCTTGCACTGGTATCTTGAGTTTTGTTTTCGGTCAGGTGCATTATGACTTTGGTCTGCGCAACATCCTGTCTGTCCTACGTACCCTTGGTGCTGCCAAGAGAGCCAACCCCACCGACAGTGAGTCAACCATCGTCATGCGTGTACTCAGGGACATGAACTTGTCCAAACTGGTAAGAGGCGTCTTTCAAGACTTAGTGTGATGAAGCTGATATATGACAAACTCTGGTCTCTGCATGCTTCTCTCTACATCTGACTCCAAAGGAAATCACACCGCAAATGTGCACACTGTATCTTTTTAGTGTCATGTTTTTATTTCTCCTCGTTAAAGAATTTGTCATCGGCAAAACTGACATTAGTGCTTATTATTGCTCCAATCTGCTTATTTATTCCTTTTGATCTCTTTAAGTGTGCATTTTTAGTCTTAGTAGCACCAGAAATTGTCTGTTTCAACTCCAAATTATACATATTCATCTCAATGTTTGTATTGATGTTGAATATTCATGACACATTGTTACTTGATAATGAATATGCATATCTTGTCCCTCTTCTCTAGGTGGATGAGGATGAACCTCTTTTCCTCTCCCTCATCAATGATCTCTTCCCGGGGATCACCTTGGACAAAGCCGGCTACCCTGAGCTTGAGACAGCCATTAGCCTCAGAGTGGAGGAGGCGGGGCTTGTGAACCATCCCCCCTGGTGTCTCAAACTTATTCAGGTAATTCACCCGGAATCTTTGGGACACCTACGTGTCCCAAAGCAGTTATGCAAAGTGCAAAATTAATATTCTCTCTCCCAAACAAGCAGAAATGGGTAAAAAAAGAATTTGATGGGGGCAACAACATCTGCGTGTTTTTTATTACAGTCTCCCAGATTAATTCCATAAGTCTTCAATTGTAGACATTGAAAATCGTTAATATGTCTCAATATAGATGTTTTGCATGTTCATATGACAAATGGCATGTTTTGCGTCGATCTCAAATTATGGATAAGGCCCCCCCCCCAAAAAAAGTTTGTCTCTGGTCAGACTGATGTTCTTGCATTGATGGGGCTATGCAGCTTTTTTCCTCCTTTCCCAGGGTTGGATGGCACGGACAGAGTGGGGTACTATTTTGGTGTTTTGTGTCTTCATCTACACGTACCTTGGTGTCCTCCATCATTTGCCCTGGTGCCCTTCTTCATTCCTTGGTGCTCCCCATTTGCCACTCGCTAAGATGTCCGCCAATCTTAACTGTTTTTCCCATTTACTTGTTGGCCCCCCCCATCTGCCTACATGTCGGGTTCTTGCTCTAGGCAACAGATTCGGATACAGCCTAAGCCGACAGCAAACAACATTGTATCCATAGTCTGCTATCATTGTTCAACATCGATCTTGTTGAGGCAAAAAAGTCGAGGCAGTGTGACAATAGAAGGCACTGTTGCAGCTTTCGTAGAGAAAAAAAATGACACCCATGCTTGAAATCGACGCACATGCTAACCAGAGATGAAAGACTCTCTCTCTTTGATTGGCGTAAGCTATACTGTCAGTTTCAGTTAAATTGAACCTTAAAATTCGAACCAGAAAAAGCATTATTTCTAAATAAGAAGTCGTCGACTTATTATCTTTTGGCTACAAAGAGGTACAACCAAAATTTCGATGATGCTGATGTGATTTGGTGATTGATTGGTTTCTTGTCATCTATAGTTGTTTGAGACCCAGCGAGTTCGTCATGGCATGATGGCCCTTGGCCCGTCTGGGGCAGGCAAGACATGCTGCATCCACATCTTGATGAAGGCCATGACAGACTGCGGGGAACCTCACCGGGAGATGCGTATGAACCCCAAGGCCATAACCGCCCCGCAGATGTTTGGCCGGCTGGACGTGGCCACTAATGACTGGACGGATGGTATCTTCTCCACGCTGTGGCGCCGCACCCTCCGGGCCAAGAAAGGTCAGGGGTCAAGACCTGTGTGTTGCAGATTGATTTTTAAGACTTCGTTTATGTCAGTTTTACCAGTGTGCTGTTCTGAACTTGGACTGAAGCTGCTAAAAAAGACACTGAATGAATAACTTTTACTGGCAAACTTGGCAAACTGTCCTAGGCGGAGGGGGTTGTTTTCATTGCTTTTTGGACACCCAACTTTGGAATGCAGGTGTTGCGTGTAATCTCAAATGCCAACAATTTGGACAGTGTCATTTTGAATTTAAGGATTGTGTATCTATCCTTTGTAACTGTTGGTGTTGATACAAGTATACTCCTCAATGCACAAATGGCAGGATCACCTTGATAAGTAAGGTATTCTGGCATGAAGTGGTTTTTTTCCAAGATGACAGAAGGATAACCGGTGACCATTCATGCAATGCGATCCACCTGTACTGTACATGCAACATTATGCTGCAGCCATAAATAGTGAGAGTTACACGTGTGAACGCAGCCCATAATACCTCTCTGTGGTTTGCCAGATCTGCCATTTCTCTTTAAATAGACAAATTGCACTTTACATGAGCCTGAAGTATGAAAACCCAACTTGTTAACGATGCAAGGATCTCAGATGTTACTGTTACCTACATGTACATAAGACAAATATAAAGGTGTAGACCACATGTCAAGTTTTCTATCGTTGAAGCAGCGTTCATGTGTGTACCTTGTGACTTATTTCTGTTTATACCACCCAGATTTCAGAGCCTGGCGCTGTCAATTTGTCTGAAGTAAGGTTCACTATAAGTTGTTTAACAGTGGTTGTTTTTTACTTTCATAGGTGAGCATGTCTGGCTTGTTTTGGACGGCCCTGTGGACGCTATCTGGATCGAGAACCTCAACTCTGTCCTGGACGACAACAAGACCCTGACTCTGGCCAACGGTGATCGCATCCCCATGGCGCCCAACTGTAAGATTGTCTTTGAGCCTCACAATATCGACAACGCCTCGCCTGCCACCGTCTCCCGCAACGGCATGGTGTATATGAGCTCCTCCGGTCTGAACTGGAAACCCATCTTGGATGTAAGTAATTTCCCCAAACTGGAGTTGCTATAAAGACTCAAGGCTTTAGGAGCTGACATCACAAATTCCTGAGGTTTCTCTCTGAAGCAATTTCGCTCACTAATTAAACCCACATGTCTTGTGTCGTGCTGATACCAGAAATACGTGTGGTATTAAAACTGATGAGGAAGATTTCCAGTGTATTAATGATAACTCCTGTTACTGTCGTCTCTTCTCATATCTAGAACAACATCTTTGTAAACAACCTCTCCCATTTTGCAACTGGACTGTTGGTGTTTGCAGTGAAACAGACATTCCAATTTCACCAGAGCATGAAAAATCCTGAAACCTAGGCCTAACCCACTTCTTTCTATTTCGTGTGCCCGGATGCCTCTGCAGGGCTGGCTGATGAAGCGTAACTTACAGGAGGCGGAGACGATCCGCAACCTCTTTGAGAACTCCTTCCCCCACATCTACACCTTTGCCCTGCAGAACCTCACCTTCAAGATGGACATCCTGGAGTGCATGGTCATTGCCCAGGTGAGTCTGAGAGAGATGTGAAGCATTGGAATGATTGGCTAGCAAGCTGATGACTTTAGCCCAAGTTGTGCTACAAGATCCTTATGGAAAAGAATGACTCTAAAATAATATGCCCAATTGGGTACTAGAATTTAGTATTGTAGTCAAGGTCAAGTGCTAAAGGAGTACTTTTGTCTCAAATTATACAATTGTCAGATTCCAAAGTCTTAAATTGATTTGGTAAACTGACGTTTGTGGCAATTGACCATGCAATGCCCACGTTCTCCAGCTTGTTGTTCTTAATGGAACAATTTCAATATTTGGCAGTAAAAATGGCACTCAAAGGGTACTCATTTGCAAAACTTGAAGAATTTTGGCAACTTATATTTTCAAAGATAATGAAAAAATTCAAATTACATTGGATCAGAAGTTGTTTTCTTTCTAAGCGTACTTTCAAAATGTGGCCTTGGGAGTGTATCTGTCTGGGATTTATTAATACTCTGTCAACAGGGTGTACTTTGCTTTCTGTGATGCTGCTTCCTCAAAGAGTTCCTTTTTATCACCCTTTGTTTCTGTCTCGAGGATGGATACAATCAAGGCCTAGCTCTACAACCACACTTTGAGAGCCAAGTGTACCTGAAAAGAGTGCAAAATGCCTGCCAGCCCCTAAAGGTTCAAATCTAGAACTGTTGTTCTTTGGTGGTTTTAGATCCTTGGGTCTGACTGGGAGATCATCCAGACTCCTTTGCATTCTTACCAAGCATTAATCCATCTCCATCTGTTCCTCCTCAGGCTATCACCCTTCTCCAGGGGCTGATCCCCAACAAAGATGACAAAGAAGGAGGGGGCTGCTCCTCGGATCACCTTGAGAAGCTGTACGTCTTCGTCGTCATGTGGAGCGTAGGTGCCCTGCTGGAGCTGGAAGACCGCGCTAAGCTGCAAGAGTTCATCACCAACCACGAGGAGTTTACTCTCAACCTGCCTCCTCTCAAGCCCGGATCAGACGAGACCATCTTTGATTACTTGATCGATAACGAAGGTGGGTATCAATAGTTACTCCACACTGTGGAAGTGCCGTTTCAAAATGTGATGACATTCTTCAACTCTGTTGGCTTATTTCAGAAAAGTCTCACTTGCCACTGAACTTTAGTTGTGCCTCTTGAGTTTTTATGACGCTTCTTGGAAAGTCGCAACTCTTGAGAAGGATTCCTCCAGCAAGTGCCCATAACTGATCCTTAAAATATTCTAGGACATAATGTAAGAAATACAGCCAGTGGCTGAACAGTTTGCTAAACAACCTTTATTTCTAGCCGAGGTTTAATGCATTGGGTTGTTCTCTAGCTGGGGAGCATTTTGAAGTTGTCCCTGAGCAATGGCATTTATTGCAATAGTTTGTCTTTCAGGACCAAGGATGTTAATTTTCAAGCTAATTTTAAACCATATTTTGTGTAACAAATTCATGTAAGTAGGAGAAGTATAATCAAAATAAGTGAACTCTGAGTACAATATATTTAATCCCTTGAAATGTGATTGTAAACATTTTTTTTTTTTACTTTTTGCCACAGGGAACTGGCAGCATTGGAATACCAGAGTAGAGGATTGGGTCTACCCATCAGACTCCACCCCAGAGTACGGCTCCATCCTCGTACCCAACGTGGACAACGTGCGCACAGACTTCCTGATCCACACAGTGGCCAAGCAGAGCAAGGTACTCAGGCCAACATTTTGGACAGGAAATTTGTGACCAGCTTTTGCACCGTTTACTTTTCTCTGAACTTCTGTCTTTCTGGCACTGAAATAGACTCTTGTTTTCAGAATTGTTTACTGGATTTCAGTAGGGATATGCGTAGGCTCAAGACATTAGATCACATCATTCTTACAGGTTTTACATTTTTTTTGCATGGGGAGGGTGTGCATACCTAGCTGGCGCCATACCTCACCTGCCTCAATTCAATCTCTAAGCATATACCTCTTACCAACCTACCATCTACCGCTCTCTCTATCTTATATGGCAGGCTGTGTTGCTGATAGGTGAGCAGGGCACGGCTAAGACCGTCATGATCAAAGGCTACATGTCCAAGTACAACCCTGAGCAGCACATGAGCAAGAGCTTCAACTTCTCCTCAGCTACCTCCCCGCTCATGTTCCAGGTAAAATGAGAAACACCTGCTGAATCACCTGCTGTTCATACTCCTGATCAACAGAAGGGGTCAAACTGCTTGGGATTATGTTCAGATATGCTTTCTTTTTTCGCACTGAATGCTTTGAATAATCCCAGGATGCTTGATGTGTGAATTTAATTCGAAGAAATGAACACTCTGCTTGATTCAAGTCTCCTGGAATCTACATTGTGGTCAAATTTAGGTACAAAGAGTTGCAACTTCAAACTTTCTGTGGACAAATCGATACAATATTGGATGTGTGAGATCCTGGTTTGGGCTTCCTTTTTGGCGCAGCAGTTTTTTTTACCTATCTTCTGTGGAGGCTTCCAAAGTCTCAAGGCTGTGACTTTCAGCGTATGCATCAGAGCCTGAAATGATCTTTTAGCCTCAATTTAGTAACATTAATTGTCTGTTTCGAAGCATCATACTGTCAACTGTCAAGACAGCACATAGCTCTCTTAACTGTTTACAGCCTACATCTCGGTACGGCATTGTTGGATACCAACTTCCTGAGAACCTTGAGAAGATCTCAAATCTTGACTGCGTGATAGCGCCTCAGTACCTGTGACTAACCACAAGCAGTGTAATCAGTAACCCTTTACATATTCCTTGATACAGCGTACCATTGAGAGCTATGTGGACAAGCGTATGGGGAACACCTTCGGTCCTCCTGCGGGCAAGAAGATGACTGTGTTTGTGGATGACATCAACATGCCCATCATTAACGAATGGGGAGATCAGGTAAAATTTTGACACGATTTGTGTGTCCTTTGAAGCTTGAAAGGTTGGAGTAAAGGGACTTGAAAGACAGATGATGGATTCCTACATATGTTATTGTGGTGCTTTACCAATTGAGCAGGCGGGCTTAAGTTAGACAAGAACCTTACTGCAACCAAGATGTGTGATAGGGCTTTCAGCTTGTCCCTGTTGACACCTTGCAAAATTTACGTTGGCATCCCTTTGTTCTCCTCCTAGATCACCAATGAGATCGTTCGTCAGATGATGGAGTTTGGCGGTTTCTACAACCTGGAAAAGCCGGGTGACTTCACCATCATCGCCGACATCCAGATGATGGCGGCCATGATCCAGCCGGGCGGCGGGCGGAACGACATCCCCCAACGCCTCAAGAGGGAGTTCTCCATCTTCAACTGCACTTTGCCGTCCAATTCCTCCATTGACAAGATCTTTGGTGAGTTTCCAGAAACCACTCATGTCTTGACTCCTCCATTTTGATAGAGAGACATGCAGTGAGACACAGGGAAATCCAAGCAAGCGGCTTGGACCATCCCACTTCAAACCCATTATCCCCTCCCATTATGAGAGGGGTGAGTGGAGGTAGTGACATTCACCATGTACAAAAGCTTGAGCAGTCAGTTGTCTTCTGGTTTTCCTTTTGTGCGACTCTAATTTGGAGAGCCTTATTAGTCTTTTTTTCAATGTGTAGAAGTATTGCCGCAAGATGTCGTAAATCTTTGATCATTTGTCAGGTTTCTTGAGCATTTTGACCGTTGTTACTTTTCATCAGGTGTTATTGGTTCCGGCCATTACTGTGCTCAGCGTGAATTCACGGAGGAAGTCAGGGAACTAGCCAAATCACTGGTCCCCATCACTCGCCGGTTGTGGCAGCTAACAAAGGTAAGTTTTCTAGATAGTCAGAAACCAACTTGTCTGTTTAAGCCCAACAAGCAAATGTAAGCATTCAAAGGAGGAACATTTGGCAAATAAGAGTATGACAAATATGCACCGTGGGTTCCTACTCAGTAGATTTGAAACGTGCTTGCCTGTTTTTGAAGGCTTCCGAGAGCTTATGTAGTGTGTTTGATTACCTCCCTTGGGCATACTCAAATAAGCACAACTGCATTTGATTTGACTTTTGGCGATTACTCAGGCCTAGCCAAAGTAACTGACCCATCAAGCTGGTTACTGAGTATAATAATAATAATACGGAACACTTATAATGCGCCGGTATCCGCCAAAAACTGACGCTCATGGTGCAATACAAACAACAAAATGATAATTCAGGAAAATATTAATCAACAACATGCATACTGAAAGTAGTGGGTCTTGAGAGCCGCTTTATAATCGGTAACGGCTGAAAGGGCACGAATGTCAATGGGAAGCTCATAAAGGGATGCAAAACCATTCCGGCTTAGTGGAACGATGTGAAGGAAGGTTGATGCAGTTGTAGAAAGTGCATGAAGTGGTAAATTACTCAAGTCAGGTAAGTTTAATGAGGCCAGATATGTGTGTGTCGATGTCCATTAGTTTTGGCAAGAAAATTTTCCTGTACCAATTTTGATCTTCTCATGACCTTTGTGGCCCAGTTGAGTTACCTTTAGTAATCTGAGGTCGTTCATTATTGCCACCGTTTTCTTATGTCAATCTAAACCTGTTATGACATTGCAGAAGAGAATATTGTGTAGAAGATTTCATTGGGATGCGAAATTCACTGAGAACCAGCCTAGGCCAATACAAATTACCTGCCTTTTTGGGGGGTTAATATGTCAGAGCTTATTAGTGCGCATTGAGTGACCTCTAGTTAGTAACAGCTTCAGTAGGGGTCCTAAAATCAAAGATACGCCGAATTTTTAATAATTCCGCTCTCTGCTTGTAACACAAAACTTTCTCCTCAGATCAAGATGTTGCCTACACCTGCCAAGTTCCACTACGTTTTCAACCTGCGTGATCTGTCTCGCATCTGGCAGGGGATGATCAACACCTTAGCAGAGGTCGTGACCTCTCAAGACGTCCTCATGTGGCTCTGGAAACATGAGTGTATGCGCGTCATTGCCGATCGCTTCACCAACCCGCAGGTGAGTGCAGAACAGCCGCAAATCAAGGGGGCTTGTGAGACTGCCTCGTCTCAACAAAAGTTAATTAAAAATTGGAGGCAAGGTTGAAGCAGAAACTTCAACACCCAAGTTCAACACAATCTAACCAACATTTCTTATAGACAACTCAAGCCCTTTGTCAGTCATATCCCCTTGCAGGCTCTTCATTGAGAAAACTGGCCAACCAAAGACTTGTCCTTTTTTGTCAGGACACTGAATGGTTCCAGAAGACAATGTCCAGGGTGATAGGAGAGGAGCTTGGGGAGCAGCTACAGAGCTATGTGGAGCCCAACCGCTACTTTGTGGACTTCATGAGGTAAGAAACACCCGAGTACCCAAAATTGTCAGACAATTTAATCAAAACTCCCAAAGTAGAAGCAGGAATGAGGCTGTTCAGTATGCTGACATGACAGGCTCATTGATCTCCATGTGAGAGCTTGTCACCATTTTAGTTCACATCCAGCGACATCAGATTTTGGGAGCGTTTTCCAAATCTAGGCTTTGCCTCCTTTGTGTGCCGTTCCATGAACGTAGTCCTCTGTAGTTGATACCATTTTAGCTCCATGAAAGCACCATCAAAGCATTCAAAGGTCCTATTGGGAAGCATGGTTTGGATTATTTCCATTTGATTTCAACAGTTAACCTTTTGAATTGATTCTTGAGGTCAAGGTTATCCTAAAGCGTGAAAAAACACCTAGGATTTGGAAACTGGTCTCAGTTTGTATTTGTTTTAAACATTGTTAGGAATGTTTCCCATTTGTACTTCCATTGCAGGATTCCAGAAGAAAGTGCAAAGTTGCATGACAATCTCACCAAACTTGAAAGTAACTTGAATGTCAGCTGACTTTATACTCACAGTCTCTTTTATTGGTACGTTATTTTCAACCATCTCCGAGATTTACCTCGACACCTGCATTTTCCCACCAACAGGGATGCCGCAGAGGCAACGGGTGATGAGCCAGATGACGCCGACTTTGACATGCCCAAGATCTACGAGCCGGTGGAGTCCTTTGAAGTCTTAGAGGAGCGTCTGCAGATGTTCATGGGACAGTACAACGAGAGCATCCGGGGGGCCAATATGGATCTGGTGTTCTTCAAGGATGCCATGATTCATCTTGTCAAGGTGAGGGGCCAGCCGAGGTAGAGTCCGCTTGGCTGAATACTGGGAACTTCTCAACAACAGTGGCGTAACGAGGGGAGGGGGGGAATAGGGCACTCTCCCCCTTGAGGCCTGTACTCCTTCCCTTAGAGAAGGAAAAAAAAATCGGGTGATTATTTGTTTTGGTCAGTGTTTTACCTTTCACTCCATGAGAACGAGGTGGTTCACATCCTAACGTGCACCTAGAAAACCTGCCCCCCTAGAAACTGAGGGCCTTTGAGAGCGCCTCTGCAAAATGTACCCCACTTATGCCACAGCTCAAGAATTTGAAATGTTTGGAAGTTCCCCTGGGGAGGTGGCATGGTAGATTAGGAACGGAGGTTTTACTCTCATAAGGGAATATTTGACAGAGCACCTACAAACTACGGAACACCTTCTTCCAACTAGGAGCTTGCTGTTGACACTGCTTCCCCCCCAAATCAGAGCCTTGTAATTTGACTTAGAATTTTAATTCTACTCGAAGGTCGAGTGGTTAAGACGTCTG